TACTTTCGGTTGAAAAAACATTTACTACAAGTATACTTTATTTACGTTTTTAAACTGAGAGTTTATTCCTCCTACAGGCTTACGTACTTGTCATCTGTCACCTTACGTTTGCCTTCTTTCCTAATACAAACAATAAATCCAGAATGGGTTTTTGATGCTTTCAGTGGTTTTCCACTCTGTGGAAAACAAATGGTACATATTTCGTTGTGTATGGTCTGCTGTGTTCTGACAGAATGGTTGACATGGTCACCGCCCCCTTCGTCTATATATATTCATTTATTTGCGTATCAATGCACGAATGGGTTAGTTGCCTCAGTTTATATTCCATCCTAGTACTGCCTATAACAGCAACTTTTAAATGGAAAAAGGGATTAGTTCAAAAACATAAGTAGTCTCAAATTTAATGTCCATTTCTTTTAAAATATCACGTTTAAGTAATATAATCAAATCAATACAGTATCAAGGTCAATAGAGAAAAGGGCTCAATTGCAAATTTATAGCTGGCTAAGACATAGTCAGTCATTTGAGGAAATCATTTCTAGTGATCGGAAAAAAATGGACCCCTAGCTGTTGCAATATCTGTTTCAACTGTACCATTATACATTGCCCAACTGCGAGCCTACTATAGCTACTTCTATTCTGTACCTTTGCTTCTAAAAAAATTCTATTTATTTATAAAAAAATTTTTCTACATATTCATCTAATGGAGATTTATAGCAGGTGTCTTTATAATCACCTCTTGAGATCCAGTTTTGTGGAAGTTATTAACAATTTTTGCTCAGTGTTTTATACAGTCCAACATGTTAAAACGACTACTTATGCAAACCTAATTTAGATGAAGCTGGCCAAAGAAGTAACTTACTTCGTGTGTAAACAATCACTCAAACATTGCGTTTTACTCCACTACCTGCTAGAAAAATCTCTATCCGCCTTTGCAAAAAAAACACCTTGACACCGCCTACAATACAGTACAGTACAAAGTTTCTCTTATTTATCTAAAATACTAGACGGCTCCCTCAAGGTTAGGTTAGAAAAAAAAAAGAAGTGTTCATAGCCACCGATAACCATGTTAGTACTTAGGTATATATATATATATATATATATATATATATATATATATATACTGGTACTAAATGAGCAGGTGGGAAAATTGAGCCGACAAGACCTTTTAAATATGGGTCAGTGCTGGTTTAAGCAAAGGCTAGGTCAGATGCCTTTAGAGTGTAATGCGCCCCTGTCTTTGACCAATGGTGGACCAAGCGCTTGCTCACTTGTGCCTTCGAGTATCCATTTTTCAACAGTTCGAGGCTTCTGCTTGTTTTTTGTAGTTGTCATGGTTTTGATGTTCATTGCTGCGTTGTCGGCGAAGGTTGTCATCGATAACAGCCTGAATATGAATCAACGCTGACGTTATTTTTGCTGCTAGTACTGATGCAGGCTGTAGTTTGATTTTGCCCTTTTTCACAGTTATTTCTATCTGCCCTATTCCTGCTCTCGCTATCGCTTAGAAGGCGGGTAACCTCAGAATTTGCCAGCAGCATTTATCTGTGTTGTGTATGAGCGACGAAAGACGCGCAGCTGGTGGCGTAATCGAACGCTTAAGCTGCTATGCCTGCGTTCCACACGTCTACTCTTCGTTATCGAACGTCGGACAAGGCGGTCGAACTTGATTGAGACTGCTACTTTACGCTGGCTAGCAGTAATAACAGCAGCGGCAAACCTGTAAGGAGCAATAGCCGCAGCAGTAAAATAAGCGCAGGCAAAAGGCTTGACATTTGACCTGTTGCAAACTGGCAAACGTGATGGCAAAGCCTGATCGGACTTGAACGATCAGGCACCGACTGTGATTGTGCGTCAGTGCTATGTGGTATAGGTACTGGAGGGGTGAATTGAATCGCATCAAAAGATCCGGCAGCGTGTTAGCAGCCGCCTACCAAAGTAGCTGGCGCACTACGTTCAATTCAATATCCCAAGGATATATGGAGCTACCAAATCCTTGGCCAGTGTGCAGTTATCGCGGACATGTTTTGTTAAAAAAAAAAAAGGATCTCGTATTTAGGTCCTAAAAATATAACAGACGTATAGAGGTGCAGGTATGCAAATTTGGTGAGTTCAGTAGTATTTCCTTATGGTTTTCAGAAGTAGATTGCGCTAGACGAAAAGAACTGGCTAGAATAGATTAAGGTCCCTTTTTCAACACTTTTAGCGTAAAATCTATGCTGAAGCGACAGATAAATTCAAGTTCAATATATATATGTATATATATATATTAGTTCCACATTGCTTGTCTGAAGCTTTGGGAACACTTAAATAGAACTTGCAAGTTCTTATGCGTGGAAGTTAGAGATTATTTTCTACGAAAATCCAAAAATATTAGAGCCTTTTGTTTTTCCCTAAGTTACTGTATCAAAGAATTATTATATTTTGGGCGGCCAGTGACGTGAAAAAATACAATTTATTTACGAAATGAACATGAGAGAGAGCTAATGAGTTTATGACGAGAACTTAATACATGTTTTATCTCTTTGTGATAATGCACCACAAATCGAACGTACCGTTTTGGTACTATATTTCAGATGTCTTATATAATGTAAGAAGGTTCACAAGCATTGCGTTTAACGCTAATAGAATAATAGTTCACTTTTACTCATTATGCTAAGATCGCTGTTGCTCTTATGGTTTAACTTAGTTGCGGAGCGTTTTGTTTATTTAAGTAATTAAAGTTGGACTTGTATGAATTAATAGACTATGTATATTTAATATTTTATAATTTAAATATATATTTAAGTAAATTAAATAATTAAAGAGAAGACAATTGCGTAGTATGTATCTTTCTCTATGGATGAAATAGGGCTCTGATGCAATTAAAATGGAAGCTGGACTTCGCATTGATTCGTATGGCGTCCTAAAGTCAGCAGAACATTTGTATTCCGGTTTTAAACAGTGTTCCCTGCCACCGACCGCAGTTTGACTTCTGTTTTATCTAATTGGTTCTTGTATTGTGACTGAATACTTGTGTGGGGTCTCGAACTCGTCAATTATGCGTGAAAAAAGAGATAGCTTTCGTAGGCCTCTTTCTTGATCGATCAGGTAAGAGCATGAGGTTGTCGAGTTGGTTAGTGAGTATACTTATAGGTGCAGTTAATAATAGACTGTCTAGCTTTGTGATAGGAGTGATTCTCACCAATCAATAAACAGCCCTTAGCTCACTTTTTTTGCGTGTGACAGTAGAAGAGAAACGTGGAAACATGGCACCTAAAGTTTTCGTAGGTATATCTGCGTCAGCTGTTCGTTTGAGTTTCATTAGCCCCTTAAGGAACGCTTTCTATGCAGAAGTTGGACCACTACTACTGTAATGATGCAAATACCTAGTATAGTACCCAATCTCGAAAGCAATGATAGATAATCGTATTTAGTCCAATACATTGTCTAGTGAAGTGTCCCTATGTTAAAAAGCCGTCTCCAAGTTACAGCAAACATGTGTTCTTTCTACATTGGTCCATATCTAATGGGTTTTGCAACATTGTATTGATTTGCAACATAACCCTTGACTTTTATAACAGCAATTTTAGATGCACAGGTCGACGAATGAGGACGCCGCAGGCCCTTTCTACATCCTTTTTCTACCCGAATAAACGGGTTGCCTAGAAAATAAAGCGAGTTTAAATTATTAGAGCTGAATTGCATTGCTTAAGCTCCCATCAAAACCTAGTTTATTCGACTTGGGCGAAGTCTTGGTAGTTGAGAGCCACCGATAACGACCCAGATAGCTACAACAGGCACCTGCTTTCTTTCAATTTATAAAATTCATTACGTTTGGGGATGTTGTTTAATTTGTCATTTGTGGCCAGATAATACCTAGTTGACAACGGTACAGTGAGCTTTACTGTTGTATTGTAGCCGTACTTTAATCCTGGAGTTGGTGATGCGGAGTATTTGCCACAATTTGAAGCTTCATTTACGATACACGTACTGAACAGCGGCTCAAGAAATATTGGCGAACTTTTGAAATATGTGGATAAACCTTAATTTGGCGAAAATATCAGTGGTTGATTAGGGTTACAGCATACGAGCAAAGGCTAAAATTGTCCAAATCTAGAAATAGAAAAGCCGAAAAGCGGGTGCCTAATGGGATACGTAAAGGCAATATTGTTAATAACACAAAAATAAAAAGAGTTGGCCGATACGATGAGGTGGCTATATATATATATATAGGTTTTCGTGTGAAATACGAAAGCAATGTAACTGCCGGGAGGAGATATGGGAGTACATTTTGTGAACTTAATCTATGAAACAAAGCAAACAATACTACCGATAAATTTCATTGATTCGGAGGTTAAATCTGCCGCGTATTTGCTGCTTGTAACTTCGCCGTAATGAGCTAAATTGTACATCAAGAACATTACCAGCGTGTGTCACAGATAATAATCAAGGATAACAATCCTATGTGTTTTTTATCCCATAGGTAATAAAAAAAATGGCACATTGTTTGATCAAAATGAATGCGATTAAATAGAAAACGCCGTAGAATCAAGCAGTTTTTTAATTTTGCTTCATGTACTACTTTCTGCGCTAGAAATAAGATCTTAACGTTTATAGTAGCTTGTTACGGAGGCATCTCTTTGTCTGATCGAATACTATGATACTAATGAAATTTAGCACATTCTATAACACCAGCAGTCGTAGAAATTTGTGTTTTTTAGTATAATATGCACACGGGTACTTCATACAAATTGATTGATGGGGTAGTAGATTTTCTATTTTGTAATCTCATCGTTACGTGACCAGTTGACGTTTTTCCGTTTAATGCAATCAAAGAATTGCGAGCTGACGATATGTAAGCATCGCTTCACTTTAGTTTTCATGTATATTTTATACGTATTGGGTCGTTTGTTAGATTCAAATACAAATATGACGAGTTTCTAACTCCCAGAACTAATCAAAAATATTTTGTGCCAATGTTAATATAAGCCGCATCTTTGTTTCAGATATCACGTGGCGACGGGACCAGGCTTAGGTAAAATAAACCCAAGTCAAATGTGTAATATCGGACATTAAATTTTAGATTAAACTCAAAGCATTCACTATAAACATAAGTACTATTACTTTCAGATTCGGAAATATGCTACACGGGCAGCTGCTTGCCATCCGCTCTTGATGTCTGTTATTGCCTCGTCAACAAGCTTTCTGCAGACATATGTAATAAATGAAAGTCTTATTGAAAATAAATTAATGTATTGTTCGGAACTTTTGGGAGTTTTCGTTAATTTATTTATTTTGGTTTGCGCCATCAGCGGAAAAGCTAAGGCTTTATTCCTTCTTAAAATAACTTTTCCAAAGTTTAAGTTTTTATGAAGCAGCTAACAGCGAAAACCTTTTTCGTTATGTTTAGCCAGAAGTAATAGTTGAAGCGTGGATATGTACAACAGAAACTGGGAGGAGCAATCTTTTACAAAAGCCTCTTTAAAAGCAGTCCATGTTTTTGCAAGCGCAACTTTCCTCAGACTGTATTAGTGTTTACGAACATTGATGACGGTCCCCAATTATACAAATACAGAGTAGTTTGATTTCTTTCGCGTGGAATTATCGAGAAGATATGCTTTGAGTAAATGATTTATCGTTATTAAAACATCCATATGTCTTTGCTAACCAAACGAGTTTTCCTTCAGGCGCACATAAAATTTAATTTTCTTTCATTACAATATCGTGCAAATGCGATCATTTTTTCTTTGTGTTACTTTATGCATTGACTTGTGGGGACACCGTGTAGGTGGAGCTGGAACAAATGGCAATGGAACAACAGTAGGCGGAAGCTTGAGCAGTTGTAACAACAAACTATCAACGGGTCCAACTGCTCCTCCGTTGTCCCATTTATCTCCATCAAGGCTGGACGCAACGAGTGGCAGTTTGATGGCTATGAGTTCTCTGTTTGCCAATGGAGATGCTGCATCGCCAAGTGTGTACTATATACTTTACATATATTTTCTTGCACAGTTACCTGCCAGAATCATTGTCTAACCTAAGTAGAACTGGTGTTAGGGATCGTCATTGCATTATTGCGCTGCGTTGTTTTCAAAAAAACATTAGTTCGCGTTCTTCTCCTACGGATTTTCATAGTTTTCCTTATACTTTTTGATGGTAGTTTCGGCAGGCGACCTGCTTTTGTTCAATCAGCAACTGGATGTTGTAAATCGAAATTTGCCGTCAGGGTCCGCTGCAGCGTTTTCATCACAGACACCACAGGTTTGTATAGCCATTCTGTGTGACCGCATCTGCTCAGGAGGGAGCACACCAACTTGGTCTACTAATGTACGTGTTGTACTTAATATTATTTAAATGATTCGTCGGCAACAACTTTAAAAGTATTTCGTAGAATAGGCAGAATACGTCTCTGGTTCTTTGACAAGAGCTCTGAGTGTGCAGTTTGCTCAGATGTGATTCGTAATTATAAAATTAAAACTCTATGTTTCTGATCAAGTCATGCGCATTCCTTCACCGCTGTGTTCCTAATTAAGTGTCTACTATTTTTAGCTGGATCAGCGGGATCCCACAACGGGTCGCTATGTGTGCAAGTACTGTACATATTCGACAGTGCAACGGTAAGTGTATAGAAAGCTAGGTGCTGAAAATGTAAGTAGGTTTTAGCTCGGGGGTGCGAGTACAAAAGCCCATGCAGACACACATGGCGCGTGAATTATTCGACATAATAGGCCACCATATTTTTATTAGGTACGCACGTCCGGTACACATAATAATATGCTAAACTAGACATTGGTATAAGTGACTAGTTAAATAACTAATCCGAACTTCGTAGTTAGTGCTGGCTCCCTATTAGAGATACGCGGTCTGGTATCTTACCTGTTTTGAGAGTCACCTGTTTTGATTAAAAGAAGATGTGAACAAAAAATGACTAAATCAATCACCAAATGGCTTCCGCCTCATTAGAAGATGTGCGTTCGAAAGGAATTTGGCTGCCTTTTACCTCACCGTTCAAAATAGATGGACTTTCTGTCGCAACTCTGGCACTATTATAGTATGTTTTAGCAACGGTATATTGGACGCTCATTGCAATGATTTTACATATATAAGAATATGTAATGCGTTATTACAGAACGCATCTGGCTCGGCATGAGCGTTCGCACACGGGAGAACGTCCTTTCAAATGTCAATTTTGCCCATACTCAGCTACCCTGAAGACATGCCTCATCAACCATGAAAGGTCAGTATAAACCAAACAACCCTATCGGTTCCGTTATCTAAGAAAAGAGCCTCGCATGGGATTCCCCAAATTGAGCGCTTTACCAAACACAGATATTTGTAGCAGAGTGTGAATGGATATCTCGTATTTGAAGTAATAGCGATATTTTGAACTTGAATATCCATATGCCACTTGACTAATCTGGTCAACGAAAGGACTTTCAATTGTTGAGTATGATTTATAAATATCAGAGCTTTGAGATGTTGTAACTACATCGGATTTGGAGACTTTGTATTCTCGTCGTCACCCTTTATGTGTAAACCACATCTCAGAAGTAACTGTCTAACTTGAAAGCGAAAGGCTACTTGTTTAAGGTCTATTTTACAATATTATGCTTGAAACAGTAACTAGCGAAGTATCATAGTGAGCTAACCATCCTCGAGCCGTATGAGCTATATGTACGTATGTATATATATATATATACAACAACATATATATATATATAATTATGGATATTATGTTATTGTTTCAGGACACACACTGGAGAAAAACCATACAAATGCAAGTACTGCTCGTATTGTGCCTCGCAAAAAGTCACTCTGGAAAGACACCAGAAGACGCATTTTAAGGTAACATATAGAAAGCTCATTTTTTGCAGAGCTCAGGGTTTCTCTTAGGTTAATGGGTAATTTAATACTAATTAAGTTATAGGTATGCGCACTGTTACTGCGCTCGATAAGGTTGAAGACAAAAGAACTCAATTTTCCTATCTGCCAAATGCGTCTAGACATGATTGAGTTACATACCCGTGTCAATTATCTAGAAATGATTCTTTTAGTGGAAATAGTGGCAAAATAGAAAACTCGTTACTTTTAAAATTAATTAATTAATTAATTTTAAAAGGGGTATTTATGTATGATGTAGATAAACAGTACCTTGCATCCTGTCCATGTTAATATTAACGGCTAAGTATTAGGGTAAGCTAAGTTGTGTCATTGTACTTACTTCAGGGTCATCAGCTGTCACTTCTTGATGCGGGCGGCACCATACATCCGCTCGACTTTTCTCCGGAAAATCCAAGTCCTCCGAATGTCTGAAGCGACGTGAGACTGGCCTTGTACTGGCGATACCCGCCACACACATCCGTAGGGAACTTACCCACCTTACAGGCCAGACATCGTGCCTAATATAACGGCAGTTAAGTTAATGTTTGTTGATCAAGCTTTTCCCAAGAAGAAACTGCTCTCTGACGGACCTTTGTGCCTAGTGTATGCTACTGTTAGGGAGAAAAGCGAATGGTGTGTCCGGGCCAAAAGTATGGAGGGTCACCAAAGCATAGAGCACCGGACCATTCGGAACGTGATCTCCTTTAAATCGCAACATTAGATACCAAACGAATTAACTTTAGAATCAGCATTGTTGTTCTGTCCGGCTGCTTAGGCTTCTATTGAAAATCCGATGCGTTTTTAGGTGACCATGGCCCATGGTGAATATAGCGCTCTGACATCGTTTGAAAAACCTTTACACACCGGCCAAAATGTCAGAGCAGTGAACCCGGACTGCCCGAGGTGTAGACGAGTTTCTGTGTCTGCCTCACTCAAGCGGAGACGATTTTCGCAGTAGAGACCCTCCATAGAAACGGGTAGTGCTCGTTACCGAACAGCTAAAGCTCTCTGAGGATTGGACAGCATGTATTCACCTCATATAGAAACTCATTATTATTTATGAAAATGTTATTCATCTCTTTGGGGGCATTCGCGGCCACGAAAGCTGGACTTGCACCAAGTGCGCACACGTTATCTACGATCAGCGCAAGCAACGGACAAATCCGTCTAAGTAGGCGCTAATATATTATTTTTTCATGTCTTGGTTGCCGCTTAAAAACCTCCGTATGGATTAATATGGCTTGTTTGTTTCTATAGTGACGACTGAGCTCTCACGATGCTCCAGAGTCGTCAGTCCTCTCTCAAACAAAACAACGACTATGACTGATTAGTGATTTCTGAAATGGAATCCGATCATTCTAGTGTATAATCGAACATATACACATTTACATTGTAGATGACATGTAATAGAACAGATAGATAATATGCCTTGAATGTCACCACCTTTGAATATTATTCCGTAGTATTATCATTATCCGTGAGTACCTACACGTATCACGGAGATTACCCTTATTATATTACTATTGCAACTGATATTCGTAAATTTCAAGTATTGTTAGATAAACGAAAGTCTACCTCTTTTGCGACAAGCACACCACCTTTCACGATTGAAGCGAGCTTAGTTTCAGATGCGCTGTTACCCAAAGTTTTGTACGCGCTCATAACGGTTACATGACCCATGCCGACGACTGTGTTCATTGTGTATAATGTAACAGCAGAGAAAAATAATAAGGCAAATAACAGTATACATATAGAGTAAATGTTATTGCTGCCGCTGGTGTACTTCATACTCGTGTCATCAGCGAATCATATTGTGTTCAGATCGTTTATGCAGTTATAATTTCCCCTATTGTGTCTCGAGTCCTCTGCATGGAATTGCGTTCATGTAAGTATAGAAAAGAAAAAAAAGTGACCACGAACACATTTACTTTTTTTAAATTAAGGACAATAATAACTCATCCTACATCAACCCATCTAATTTTTTTCCATTCATACGTACATTATTTGCTAGTAATAACGGAAATGCATGTGACATATACAAACGTAATGATACGTAACCAATCGTAAGCATTGTAGGTAGTCCATAACCCATATGAAGAGCATGTCGCAGAAGTGTGTCCCTCCCTGCCTGCCTGCCTGCCTGTCTGTGCGTCTGTGTATGCATGTATGTACACGCGGCCTTTCCTTTTTTATGCCTTGATTTAAGTTTATTGGGGTGAACACCGCGACCTTGTTGCTGGTGCTTGCGCCACCAGCGCTCTTAATAATCAGTGTCATTTAGGTCCTTCCCTTGCCCCGTCCTTTTCTTTCTGTGCCTCTGAGATCGACTGAGCAGTCTGTGAGCGAACACTTCGCATCGAGGTCGCCGACTGAAATATTGAAACATTTATAGCTATTATAATTATCGGTTTATTATTATTACTATGTGACTTATTCATATGCATGCACACATTATATTACAAGTTTTGTACAGAATGATAAGTACAATGACGGGAGCGAGAGAGGGAGAGAGAGAGAGAGAGAAAGAGTGCGAGCGAGAGGGAGAGAGAGAGATTTATAAATTGGAGAATTTCAGATTTAGGGGACATCGGATTTTCACATATAGTCCACGACACAGATATTATACGAGACGTATGTCACTGAGGTGACGAAGCATTATTATGAATTATTTTCACTAATTTTGATACGAATCCGTAATGGTATTATAAGTTGTGGCTGTTCTCGTTGATGCCGCTGCAGCTGGCTGGAGTATTAGCGGCCGATAAATATTATAATGATCTGCTGCTACGTATCGCTCTCTATGGCTCCAGGCGTTCTTCATTTTTGTCAACTCTGTTTTCGCGAACATCGACCGGTGTGCCATAGACTGCAAAGTGCTGTGTGCTCAAGCTCATGCCTTGAGGATATTTACTGAAAGGAAAATCATTGCTTAAGCACCAGAGGGGGCATTATTGAGTTGATTGAGGTTCCTATTAATTGTGCAGTCGCCTGCGGGAAAGCATATGGGGTTGGAGGTTCTTGTCAAGGGTTTGCTGTCGATTTGCTCAAAATTCATATCTTTTCTTCTACTTATATCGACACGTGCAGTTCCGTAGTGCAAAGATATCGACAGAAATTATTTTTTCCCTGAGACAAAAAACCGATCATCTATCTTCCAATAATCATATATAACCAGGAACATTCTGCGCTCTCTACAATGTTGATGGTCTATCTATAAAAAGGCTAGCAATATCTTATTAAAATTAATTATCTTAAAGGAACAAATCAAGGAGATCGGATTATAAAGAGGATCGTGACTATTTTATATTTTGTTTTCTCAGCATATCGTCCTTATACTAATGCTAAGCAATGCACTTAGTACAAAATTAATATTAATAATAGTGTGCTGGCACGCAAGGTGACAATTTTGGGCATTCGTACAATAATATGTGAGTGACAATGGAAAACACATCATGAAATCAGCGTGGACTACGTGAAAACTTTAGCACCACCTTATTCAAGGGCTATATATATATATATATATATATATATATATATATATATATATATATAGAGAGAGAGAGAGAGAGAGAGAGAGAGGTATCGTCGCGAAAAGGAAATGTTAGTTTTGTCTAAGGAGCTGACAAGCGGAGATGTGTTTGATACATTAAAATCATATTAGATTTGAAATAAATGTTGTCCTTAGAAAATTTGACATGCGGTGCTTTTTTTCGCCTTCTTGGCGTAATACATCTCATATCGAAAATGGAACTTTAAGCTGCAGTTGACATTTATTAATCAATTTCCAATTATCGGACTAATATTGGTGCTAACTTTCAGATTCCATGGAAGGTTCTCGTCAACAATTACCCTCGGCCAAGCATAGAAGAGCGACTCATTTGCGTGTCTTCTCTCAAAAACACGGGGAAAACACATTTCTACCTAAAATAAACCTTATATTTAAATACATTTTAAAGCTTTATTTTTGCCTTAAATGCATACGTGAATCTAAACGGGGTGTATGTTAAGAAGATCTGTCGCAGTCCCTTATAAAACCTGTGCTGGTCCTTTAAAAACCAAGACAAAAAATAAATGAACTGTGGTAATCGTTTCGAAGTATAAACCGTTAAGCCGACCTCAGATAATTACGATTCCTTTAAAGAAATTCTATTGATTTCCCAAACTACTTCTGTATTTTTAATAAAAGACTAATCTTAGCACGGAGTCTACACGAGAAACTATGCTTTCCCACAAAAACATTGCGTAAACTACGAAGCATTACTTGTTCAATGCTAGTCAGTAAGGTGGTTCTCTATGCCTTCTGTAGTAGCATCATTTCTATATATAGATTTCATATATTTCACTTATTTTGCGGCAGAAACGTGTGATGACCGCTTAGGTTCAGTGGATCTCATCGTGCCATTGGTTGACGCATCGCAGCATCTACTGCAGCGCCACCTTGCGGCAACCGGAATTATTGGTAATAGCCGAGATCGAGATGTGCTGCTCAGATTGACTCACGGGAGGAGCAGTCTTGGCTTTAAAAGTGCACCACCATCATCCCTCAAATGCCGATTCTGTAACTTCACCGCCAAGTTTGCGTCCTGGGTACGTGACACCTTCATGACGGCACGTGGAAGAGAGAAGCAGATAGATTAAATTGTGAAATATAACGCTAGAAATATTAAAGCCAATTTTATTGCGATCAGAATGGCGCAATTTAAAATACAAGTAGCATTTTTCACTTTCTAAGGGACTTATTTATTTTAATCACGATAAGTCCAAACGAACGTACTGTTAAATTACATTAAGCTCCGCTTGAGGAAATAGCCTCACTAATTCATCCGTCAATCATTCTGCGACTAGTGTCCGCTTTTACCTTATCGACTGGTAACGAACATAAACACGTGGGTTTATATACACATATTAATAATACGAGGTATATGGAGTAGTCGTTGCATGTTATGGTTTATAATAAGGCAAAAGTCTTTTTACTAAACGCATGTTTACGTGGCGCTTCTATAATCGTGTTTTAGGTGGCCCGGCACGAGCGTACTCACACCAAAGAGAAGCCCTATTCCTGTCCGTATTGCGGAGGAAAATTTAATCGAAAAGACGCTCTAACCGTACACGTTATCACCGTTCATAAGGGTTTCGGAAGTGTTCTCGAAGCTGCTTCATCATCGCCATGTGTTCAACATGTTGCATCTACAACAACACAACTATTTAAAGACTTCAAAGGTTAAAGGGTTTTACCAGTGTCAATTGCGCTTTACAATTTTGGCTGTGTATATATATATATATCTAGCGAGTATATATATATATATACTCTGTTCAGTGCTGTGTATAGTTGTGTGCAGTGATGCTGATCGTACGCGTCTAACGTATGAATCATGTAAGTTATGGTGCTATGAGCGACGTTAGCCATAGGTAGGTCTATCTGCGTCGAGCTAAAGCCAGCGTGGAAGTTGCGACATCTATCGTCAATATTAAAAACTGGTCGTTTTTGAAATGTGTGAACAGGCTAAAATTGTGACCCTGCTCATTTTGTCGAGAAGAGTTATAGGTTGAGCCAAAGGCTGGAAGTATTGTCGGTCTAGCGGCTTGCTGATCGACAGTAGCAAGTTGTTATGACTACCTAACTTGGTGATGATTAGGTCTGTACTATGATTTTTTAATTTATCTTCTTGCGTAGTATTCACAGCTTTAAATGCGGTTGAAATTACACTGCGTAATGACGCTGACACTCTAGGCACTATTCACCGATTCCTTCACCGTATAACCGTTCGGTCCTTATTTAGGACACGATTATTGTCTCCCAACGATCCTAGAGCTGAACTAACCTGAGACGTGGTTATAGTCTGTGACAGATTTTCCACACGCTATCGGCAAATATGAAACAGAGGCAAAATGTGCTATTGGCCATTTTCCATTGAGATAGAATGGACGGAAAAGTTATGTCAGTTAATGTAGATTTGTTTTTGTCCAATTGGCATTGAAAGCCGTTAGCGCATATCGACGCAAAGAATAATCGTTTTTTGCCAATCTATGAAAGATCTATGTCTGCTTCTCACATGACGCCTCCGTTTCCACACAACTTACACGCTCAATAATCAACTGTTTCTAATCAGTCAATAGCAGTTAACTTACTAGCTTTAAAAAACTACACGGCGAAAGCTGGCCAAATGACGTATTTTCTCGAGTTTTGTTAGAGAGTACACTTATACGATCGGACGTTCATTCTAATTTTGGCCCGAAATACTTTTGGTCATCTCCACCGTATATTATCGTACGTTTGCATGAAACAAGAATAAGGCCTTTGTTGCTTTATACAGATTTCAAGCGACGACATTTTTTGACTTTGCTAAATGGACTGCAAGCTGGAAAGAGACATAAACACAATTGTGGCAAAGCGTTCAGATTTACTAGTAGCTAGCGCAGCAGTCCTGACATCGTGGTAATCTTTGACGAAATTTAAACAAAGCAGCCGTATACTTAAGGTGCTGCATATCTCCCACCGATAAGATTGTATTTCCTGCGTACTTCGGTGTAGCGAGTGCGTCATGTGAGCAAAATGTCCTAATCCAATTAGAAGGAATTGTGAAACATTTATAGGTGCCAGCCAGCAACCGTTTTGAATCGAACGAAATTTACTTCGTCGTATGCTAGGAGCAGAAGGAGACGTTGTGTTACACGGTATGAAAATTTCCGTTACATGTCGGTCAACCGTACAACCAAAGAATAATAGTGGCTTTCGAACATTTCAACCAAAGTCAACAACTACCGTGTTTGTTACTTATCTATGCAGCTGCGTTTGGTGATGCGAAATGACAGTTTTCCCTAGGTTTGTACTCGTAGATTTTGTGGCGGCTAAATTGCTGCTCGTCAAATTTGCCCGGAAACCGCTGGTCCAGTGGATCTGAAAGTCACTTAATTTTTTTTTCTTGTTTATGTTTATAAAACAGTAGATATATTGATAAGTAGATTCTAAATATTTCAGTAAGAGCCGCATTAATGTGTACTGAAATATGCTTTGGCATTTGCTTTCCATTGTCGGGTCTATCGGGC